GAAACTGCCTCAAATTTTCATGCATGGAGACAAGGTTGAAATAAAATCATTCATAGCTTATTGACATCATTAAAATGTCTCATCTAACATGGTTCCATTAAATTTTACTGTATTTCGTAGAATTAAATGTATGCACAGTTAGAAGTTTTATGAGTTTTCTGCGAGTTAGTAAACTCATGAAAGTATTGATCTGATCTGATTATATCTAGGTGCTGAAAAGGGGAAGGAAACCCTAGAGCTTTAGATAAGGATAATAATAGGACCAACATATCCTATGTGAGTTTTTTTTTTTTTTTTTTGGGTCCGGTCGTGGGGCCTGAACTCTTGGCCTGGGCTCTGTCCCTCAACTCTTCAGCTCAAGGTTAGCACTCTACCACTCGAGCCACAGCGCCACTGCCGGCTTTTTTCTTTTTGCTTATGTGGTGTTGAGGAATCAAACCCAGGGCCTCATGCATGCAAGGCAAGCGCTCTACCACTGAGCCACCTTCCCAGCCCCTCCTATGTGAGTTTTAATAAAACAATTTTCATTGAAAATAACTTAGAGCTTATTTTTTTGGAAAGTATATCAACTCTTAAGCAAGAGTCAAAACAATTTATGATGGGTATATTCATGGTGCTTATGTATAAAACTATATAAACATCACATCTTTGGAAGATCTACATATTTCATTGTAAATTTGAGTTGAGTTAAGTTTATGAACAAAATATGTCTACCTTATAATTGGCAGTAGGTTAGATAGGTCTAAAGTCTTGGCAACTCTACCAAATGTTCATCAAATTAAGAAACCATTAACCTGCCTTCCATTTTCCATAGAAGAAAGTGAAAATGGACATTACAATGCAATAAACAAGATTCAGCCTAATCTTTCAGGGTAAATACCTGGTTTATTTTATAATAGAAAAATAGCAATATCACTTCTAGATCTCCACAACTGTCTTTTAAAATTGCAGGAATAACATCTTATTGTCGGAAAATCTCTAAGTAGCCAGTGTTTGTGCAAAACCAAAAGGGGTTTCCTTTGTTGCAAATAGAGAATTTGCCTGTGACAATTCAGCCAATTCTTTACATAATAGCTGGATCTGGCCATGTAGTGGGAAGCATACCTTACTATGCATGCAAGTAATAAAGAAGCTACTCAAAACTGTGATGTCATGGGGTTGTAAATAAGACTGCTGAGAGGATAAAGTGCGATGAATTTTTCAAAAGTATGCAAAGTAGAAAATATAAACTGTTTGGAAGAACTGAGTCCAGTCTACAGATCAAACTGTTGCCAGAGTTATTATGAAGGTGAGAAAACAGGGTATTTTATCACATTTATTTCAGAGGCAAAATCCCAAGCCAATTTACTGCCCTTCAATAAAAAAAACCTGGAAAATGTGTTGGAGACAATTTGAAGATATATCTATTTATCCATGTCTTTTTCTGTCTACTTTCCACCCATCTATTCATCCACCTATACCCATCAACTCTTCCATCCACCTACCTACTGATCACCCCCTCTTACTTGGGATATGGTCCCTTTGGGCGCTTTTAATTTTTCTTTAACAATTGTGTTTCTTATTAAATAGCATCATTGAGCAATTATTCTAGTGAATCTGTAATGAATTTCTTCATGAATCTGATATTTACATTTAAAGCTTACATTTTTCCAGTAAAACATAATCCCCTCTTTCTCATAACATTTAATTCTTAAGGTTACATTATGAAAGTAGCCAAAATTCACTTGCAGCTCTTAGATGGCTGCTAAAGAAAAGCAGCATGATTCATTCTGTAAAAAGATTGCAAATCTTATTATTGCTTTTTCCAAATAAACTTGTGTCCTAATTAATTGACTTGTATATAATTAGTGTCTGAAATATTTCTGTTAAACATGGAACAAATGCTTATACTGAATGTAATGGTGTTTTCCATTTTACAGATGAGGAACTTGAGACACTATGTCCACTTGTCCACTATGACTAAACTATCAAGAACATCAGGCCAATGCACTTTTCTTTATAATCCCCAGGATTTCATTCTAGGCCTTGTAAAGACACAAAAGAGATTGTTATGGCCTGCATGCTAATGTTGAAATCCATAATATGCATACTGTAATCTAATCCTCAATTAACTAACATTAAAAAGTCAGGAATTCAGGGAGGTGATTCAATCATGAGGGCTCTGCATTTGTGAATGGAATTAGAGACTTATTAGCTTCTTGGTCCCTATCATCACATGAGGATACAATAAGAAGTTGCTGCCTATTTATTTTTTAATAGAAGTCTCCTAATGGAGACACTGAACCTGCTGGCTTCTTAGAATTTCCAGATACTAGACATAGGAAACAAACTTCTGTTATTAGCTACCTAGTCTATGAATATATGTTACAGCAATCCAAACAAACACAAGGGGCCTCATTTTCCAGAAGACATGCATGCACAACCAACCAACATTATATATATATATATATATATATATATATATATATATAGCTGTTTTCTTTTAATGAGGTACATGAAGGATGGGGAAGACACGAAAGAGAGTTGAAGTGATTGGAGAGAGATGTGTAAGGAAGGAGAGCCAAGATTTAAAAAGTGGAGACAACCTGAGGATTGGGGCAGATATGTTTCAAATCCTAGCAATGGCTCCACTCTTCACTCCTCACCCTTTATTTTGGAGGAAGACATTCTGCTTCCAGTGTTTGGTCACTCCTTTGATCTGAAGCTAGGATTAGTAACAGATGGCTCTGGTTCCTGCTCTGTTCCCTGTAGTTTGTCTATGCGGTCTCAATCCTAGTGTAAACAAAGCCTGTATCTGTTGTTGGAATATCAGTGCTGATCCAAGAGATGCCTTCAGAGGAGGGAGAAAGAAATGGACAAATAACTGAATCCTGCCTGTGGAGTCTCGTCTCCTGATTTCATCAATGGGAATGTTTAAAAGTACAAGGGTTTTGTAGTAATGAAATCAGCTTAAAGAGATCACTGGTACTAAATTAGTCATAAATAGATGTATAAGTGATACAATCATGTACAAAGTTGGAAAGAGCCATGAAATACTAACAGGTTAGATAGGTATTGTAAAACAAGGTACTTATAAGGTATTCCAGGTTCCATCAGGGAGAGAGGAGGCCTGTTGTCCATGCCAGGTTTATCACTGAGCCCCTACCCCCACCCCCAGCCACTTTTTGGATAGCACAAAAGCCTCCTGACACACTCTGAAGTTTTTATAAATTTCAAGTATTGTGACAGATTTCCATGGACTAAATTCTCTAATTTTAATATAATATATTCTAACATGACTGTACAGACTCATCATAATTAAGCTGGAATGTTGTAGGAGAACAGGATGTGTTTATTGCAAAACAAACAAACAAAAAAACCCCATCCTTCCATAAATCAAATGTGCAACAGCTGTCTGGTCTTTGAAAGGAATTATCTCTTTTGTCCTAAGATTAGCAGGGCTGCAGAGGAAAGAAAGGAATTAACTATGATAATCAGTTCAAGTCACCCAGTAATTTCTGCAATGAAATAGTCCAGCCATATTTGGAAATTATCATGAAAACACTCAGCTTTTTAGGTGAATTATTATTGAATTTATATTAACCCTTGGGCTAAGTATCTAGGGAGTATTTTTTTTAAGTTGCTAATGTAAAAAGATATGCTACTGATCTCTTAATCTGATCACATTCAGCAAGAGTTATTTGCCCTGAGGTCTGAGCTACGTGGTAATAAAATCAAGGGACATAAAAACTGTGGCAGGAACAGTACTGAAATTGGAGAAGCATCATTATGAATAGCAACAAGTATGGAGATGCATATGTAAGAGGGTAACTAGAGTCAATATAACACTATTCTTCCATGATTTAGAGTAAATAGATAGTTATGGCTCATCTGCTGGGTAGATATTTATGGATTATTATCCAGTATATTATTGAAGATAAGCCTGGTTAAAAACAAATAGAGGGAAGAGCAAATGGCACAGGCAGGCTTTTAGGAAGGCCATCATTTGTAATATTTCTCAGGAAAATCTCTTTCAGAAATTCCTCAGCATAGCTAATGTGCCATAGAAGGACTCTCCATTTTAGGAGTGCATAAATCCACATAAATTGCTATAATAAGGATTCATCCCACAGCCCTTTTGGCATAAATGCACATCTGGTCTATGTTTGTAATGAAATCAATTCAAAGCCCCACAGTGCATTAATAATAAAAATGTTCAACATATTGCAACCAAATAAGCCCTGCAAATTCAAGTCTGCAAGATTCTGTCACACATGTGTGTATTTTAGCACTGATAAATGATTAGGTTACAGAATATTTTTCAAATGACTTAATATTCAAAAGGTAGAATTTTTTATTATTATAATTATTATATTTCCACAGGAAAAATCCATATGTATGTATGCTAGGTATTTTGCTTGCTTGATTTATAAAGCCTTGTGGACTTTTATATCCCTAGCTCACAAAAGCATAGAAATTTTATTAATAATACAGTTATTGTAAGCTGTACTAGCCTAGCTTAGAGGAAACTCATGGATTTGCATTTTTAAAACTACTGAATTCTGCAGCCTGGACAGAAAAGTCATTGAGACTCCATCTCAACAGAAAAACAGATGGGTGGGATGGTATATGCTTGTCATCTCAGTTAGAACAGAAAGCATAAAATAAGCAAATCGTATCTCAGTGCATGCTTGGAGAAAGCTGAAAGATCTTATCTCAAAAATAACCAACTCAAAGAAAGGCCTAGAGCATGCTTCAGCAACAGAGCACCTGACTATCTAGAGCAAGGCCCTAAATTCAAGCTCCCTAGTGTCAAAACAAAGAAAACAATAACAACAAACAACTGAATTCTAGAATAGAACCTAGCATATTAGAAGTTGTCTTTAAATCTGAAAGAAATATGAGAACAATATTCCTTATTCATTAAAAAAAATCTTGGTTTTTGCTTTCTGCAGTTATAATCAACAACTGCAAAGGATGTAGATTTAATAAAGCCTTCCTATACTGTTCTCCAGATTTACCTTCTGTGTTATGTGATTGACCCAAGGAGAAGAACAGTTGCTGAGGTCTGGTCCCTGGGGATCCCAGATTCCATCCGGAGCAAGGCAAAGGTAAGTTGACACACCTGCAATAAGGAAATAAATATGTCCATTTCAAAAAGTCCATTTTCATTAGCATGATTTCATATCCTTAATATGCTTAAAGATAAGCCACAGCAGATATGATATATAATTTAATTGAGATAATGTCCATTAAATGTCAGACACAGTGCCTGGCAAGCAGCTGTCATAGAACAAATGTTATAAACACAACCACTGGATATATTAAAGCACTGGTGGGCAACTCTGCAGGCCATGGGGAAGAAATGCATGGATGGTATCCAAGTGCAACCTGCCCTCAGGTGCTTATTGGTGAATTCTGCGGAGCCAAGACAATAGTTGAGCCTTAAAGAAACCCATTTACAGGGGTATTGTTTGCTTCCTGAAAAGCAAAATGCTGAAGAAAATTTCAAGTAGAAGAAAATGATACCGTAATGGGTGAGGTCAAGGTTTTTAACTGAAATTATTTGAGACTGTATTGCAAACATCTGGAAATGGAAGCCTAGAGTCAGAACATAAAGTCCTGTGTTGGTCATGTATGTGTGTTCTGGGAAAACAGTGAAGACCCTTAAGAAGAAAAGGGAAGTGAGTAGATTTAGGCTTTAGAAGGAAAACTCTGGTGGCTGAATGTAGGATGAATTTGAAGGTGAGATGGAGAGGTTGGGAAGAAGCAATGGCTATAATTCAAGTGAAAAGAAAGAGGAAAGAAAAGACAAAAAAAAATTAAAAGTCAGGACCAGACCAAAGCAGAGTAAATGGTAAAAGGAGAAAGAAAAAAAAAAAGAGGACTGTAACCTTTAAGACTGTTGATGGCTTCAGAGGGTTTGCTTTAAAACCTGTCCCCAATTTTCACAGGACAATAATGACATATATTGGTAGTGCAAAGTGCTTTCAAATAAAGTGTTTCCCTAATCTTCAAAAGAAATCTCTCAAGTAGGGAAGCTATTATTACTTCTCTTAGAGATGAAGGAACTGAGTCTCTGAGCAAAGACAGAAGACATCATGAATGACTGATTTCAACACCACAGAAAACTTTAGAAATGACCTTTGTTCTCTTTTTCAAAAATGGAAGTAAAATGCTGAATATTTTTTTAACTATTTTCTAAAGATAAATATGCACATTTATATAAATCAATATACTCTGATGCTCCTCCCACTCTAATATTTCATGAAATTTGGAATAGTGTGTCCCCATATTGGAGCTTTTATATAAATGGTATCTCTGTTAAAAAAGGAATAAAGGGAATAAAGGAAATAAAGCAATTGTTTCTGGGATGTGCCAAATATTATTTTAAGAAGATCATTGTATATAGCAATGGTGAAATTGGAATATTTCTTTCTTCAAATGGTAAGTAACGATGTGATTGCAATTTGGGAAGATAAGTTGAATCCATAGTAGAACAAGTGAAAGGCTTTCTAGTTCTTAACTGTTCCCTGCAAATCTGGCCTATAGAGATTGGTTTTTGACACTGTTGAGAGTCTTTGAGCATTAAGATATTATGGTGACTGGTAGAGATGGCTAGCTTGCTATTTGTATAATGCTAAGAGGTGGTTCGGTGGCCATCATCACATCCAGATATACTTAATTTTCTACAACCAATACTGACCACAGCTGGAATGTTGCAAATAGAGCCGACTAGCAGGAAGAGGAAAGAAGAGGTAGATGAGAAAGGAGTCCAGGCATTAAGTTTCATTGTAATTTGATTCCAAGACTTGGCATTGCCTGAAAAGTAAGGATTGCCCAGAAACTCCTGCCAAACTTTCACCTGTCACTTCCACAGGTTGCATTTTCTGCCTCTGAAATATATTGCTTTCACTGTAATTTAGCTGAGTTCAGATTATAATACTAAAATAGGTAGTTAATAAGAATCAAAAGGGGAAAAAAAAGACAAGAGAAGAGAAGAAAAAAATCCTAGAAAAGGAAGTCAAAATAGTAACAACAACAACAAAAGTCACTTTCAACTTTGTGGACTGGACGGGTTTACCTATGGTTCCTGCAGGGCATGGCTGCTTTGCTACTTGTCCTTGACGAGTCTTAAACCACATGATTTCCCTGGCTTCCACAGCCTCACAGCTCTCTTCCTGCGCTGGGATTTGGGAGGGTGCTGAGGGCAGGTGTGTAGTGACATCATCAAGTAACTCTACAGCTGGAGATGGGGTGCTGGTACTCCGGTTTCTCCTTCCAGGTACTGATGGGGTGGTGCTACGTCCTGCACTCCAGGTTGTGGTCCGAAGGGTGGTACTGGTGGTTGTACTACCCATTCCAAGAGGTCCTGTGGTAGACATTCCTGAAAGAGAATTAGAGAGAACACCTACATTGGTTGTTCACACTAGGATTGCAGGATGACCCTATAGTGTAGAAACCATTTGTCTGTGACAGTTAAAAGAGTTTTTGGAGTTGTTTTTGGGTCCAGTGGTGGGCCTGAACTCTGGGTCTAGGCGCTGTCCCTCAGCTCTTCAGCTCAAGGCTAGCACTCTACCACTTGAGCCACAGCACTACTTCCGGCTTTTTTCCTTTTTGCTTATGAGGTGCTAGGGAATCGAACCCAGGGCCTCATGCATGCAAGGCAAGCGCTCTACCACTGAGCCACCTTCCCAGCCTAGTTAAAAGAGTTTTTAGACTCTAAAAATCCTTTACCTCATGTTCACTTTAAAGATGGCAAAAGAATAAAAATAATAAGGTATCAGACTGGCACTTGAGTACCAAAACAGCCATTGACCACTGCCAAACATAGACTGGGTCCTCAACTTTAATCACACAAAACAAAATTATAGCAAAACTCAACTCTAGAGTAAGCTTCTTAAGACTCTCAGCCTTTTGGACAATTAGAGGATTAAATCCTTAAGCCCTCTACTTAGAATGTTCAAACTTGGCATAGAAACAAAAAAGAATTGTATACTATTATATACAAATCTTTGTCGACACTAGGCAAGATGATTTTCTAAATCTGAAAGAAATAGGTAACAAGCAAAAGGAAAAACAAAACAAAACAAAAAATAAACAAGCAAACAAAACCCAGACACCAAAGCACCCACAAGCTAAAAAAAAAAGAGAGAGACAGAGAGCAACTCTGCATATAATTCCCTTATTGCATATTAGAGTGGTGATCTATCCTAACTCTTGACAAATAATCCTCGTTAACAAAGCTTTAAAACTTGATAATTATTGGTGTAAGTACAAGCAGTTAGTTCCCAAGACATTATGCTTCTAAATTACTTTTTCTAAGTTCCAATATAAGGTAGCTAGAGTTTTTGATAAGATATAAGAAGTTGTGAACCTATACCTCCTAATGGTATCATTTTAGACAATTCTTTTTCTGGAAAATAAAATTCATGGTTATATCATAGGACTGCAAAACTACACCATTCTAGGCATGAATTACTAATTGTAAGAGCGAAAACTAGACAAGCATTAGCATTCAAGCTTATAATCTTAGCTACAGAAAGCTGAGATTTAAAGGATCAAGTTTCAAAGTCAAACCCAGGCACAGAAAAATCTATGAGATTACATCTCCAATTATCCAGCAAAAACTAGGACTGATGACTGATAGTATGGCTCAAGTGGTAGATCACCAGCCAAGTGAGTACAAAGTTCTTAGTTCCATTCTCAGACTTGGCAATTGTTTTTTTTAAGTAAAACTAATACTGTCATTCTACTATCAATGTATTTAGGGGCATTGTCTCTACCCTGGTACACTGTCACTCACAATTAAAAATGGATAGATAGCCCTTTGATGAGCTTCCAGCTTTATTTAGAGGAGGTTAAGTATCATACACCAGAGGACACATCTTCACAAAATCTTTGCTGCCTTTTAAAGAGTCCCAGGTGTATCCCAGTGCATTTGATGTATATAAAACTTTTAAATCTAGCAGAGATACTTCAGGGGCAGAGAGTATTTTACTGTTAACAGAAGTTATGTCACCTGGTTATGTCCTTTTGTCCTTTGTTTTCCCTCCCTTCTCAACTATCCACTCTTTGTCTGCTTTCCATGAGAAACAAAGGGAAAGGTGGAAGAGAAGGTAGTTCCTAAGGACATCTACTCCGAATGCATACAAGAAGCCCAGTGTCTTTCTTAGCTTTCTTCTTTGTGGACTGTATACTCAAGACAACTTTTGTTGATTTTTTTGCAATAGAGTATGTGAAAGCCATCTATTTTCATCTCTTCCCAATCACCACTATCTACATTGAATTCACCATCATTAATGAATAAATACATCCTTTTTCTTTCCTTCCTTCTTTCTTTCTTTCTTTCTTTCTTTTTTTCTTTCTTTCTTCCTTCCTTCCTTCCTTCCTTCCTTCCTTCCTTCCTTCCTTCCTTCCTTCCTTCCTACCTTCCTTTCTTTCTTTCTTATTCTCCTAGAAGCAATAACAGATGAAAAGTTTGGAATTTTAAAAAGAAAACAATTATTGATCCTAAGGACATGACACAATTCAAACACAAAACTCAGGAACTTATTGCAGAGGGACTGGGAAGGTGGCTCAGTGATAGACTGCTTGCCTTGCATGCATGAGGCCCTGGGTTGAATTCCTCAACACCACACAAGCAGAAAAAGCCAGAAGTGACACTGTGGCTCAAGTGATAGAGTGCTAGCCTTGAACAGAATTGCTGAAGGACAGCGCCCAAGCCCAGAGTTCAGGCCCCATGACAGGCAAAAATACAAAAACAAAAAACAAACACCAAAAAACCTCAAAACAAACAAAAAATCCTGTTGCAGAATATTGCATGAAATTTCTATTTAAAGTTATAAATGATTGGGACGGGTGGTGAGATAAGTGATAGATGGTTTAACTCCCATATGCAAGACTTAGGTTCTAATTCCCAACTCCTAAAGGAAAACAAGTCAATAAATAATAAGCTAGGCATAGAGATTTCTGATTGTGATCGTTTCTACTAGGAGACGGAGATAAGAGGATCACAAGCTCAAGGTCAGTTGAGCAAAGTTATAGAGTCTTTACCTCAACAATTAAAAAAAAATAAGAAAAAGAGTTGAAGGAATGCAATGAGGGGTAGAATATGTGTTTGATTCTCAACCTCACAAAAAAAGCTATAAACAATAAAAATAGTATTATATATATAGTACATGGGAATATGTTAATGCAGTATTTCAAAAACATTAAATAAGATCAGAATACTTAATAAATAGATTAAAGCAGAATTAAGGAAGTGGAAAAACCTCCCATGCTCCTGGATAGGGAAGATTAACATCATGAAAATGACAATACTGCCAAAGGCTATCTACAAATTCACCATTAATATTCCAATTTCATTCTTCAATGAAATAGAAGAAGCAACACCAAATTCATATGGAACAATAAAAGAACCCAAATAGCAAAAGCAATCTTTAGCAGAAAGAACAGTGCAGGAGGAATATCAATATTAAATTTCAAACTCTACTACAAAGCCATTGTAATCAAAACAGTTTGGTACTGGCACAAGAACAGACCTGAAGACCAATGGAATAGAACTGAAGACCCCGAAATGAACCCACAGACCTATAGCCCCCTAACCCTTGATAAGGGAGCTAAAACATTAAAATGGAAGAAAGACAGCATCTTCATTAATGATGCTGGCCAAATTGGTTAAACACCTGCAAAAAACTAAAACTAAATCCTTATATATCACCCTGCACCAGAATCAACTCCAAATGGATCAAAGACTTGGCAGTCAAAGCAAACATCCTGAAAATATTACAGGAAGGAATTGGAAAAACTCTAGGGCTTCTTAGCACAGGCCAAAATTTTCTTAATAAAGACCCAGAAACACAATAAATAAATAAAAGGCTAGACAATTGGGATTGAATGAAACTGCAGAGGTTCTGCATGACAAAGGACATAGCTAGCTAGATCAATAGAAAGCCCATGGATTGAGAGAAGCCTAGCCATACAACAGACAAGGGTCTCATATCTAAAAGATTCTTGTGACTCAAAAACAAGAACAAACCCTCAAAGAAACAACTGTCTGATAAATAAGTGACCTAAAGACTTAAAGAGAGACTTCTGAAGAGGAAATAACAATGGCCAATAGACACATGAAGAAATGCTCAATCTCTCTTGCCATAAAAGAAATGGAAGTCAAAACAACATTGAGATTCCACCTCACCCCAGTTAGAATGGCTATTATCAAGAAATTGAATGACAACAGATGTTGGAGCGGATGTGGTCAAAAGGGAAACATTTACTGCTTTGTTGGTAGGAGTGTAAACTTGTTCAACCACTTTGGAAATCAGTATGGAGATTCCTCAAAAGAGTCCACATAGAGCTCCCTCATGACCCAACCCAGCAATCCTATTTTTGGGCATTTACCCAAAAGATCAAAAATAAGGCCATACTAAAGCTACCAGCACAACTATGTTTATTACAGCATTATTTACCGTAGCTAAGCTATGGAACTAACTCAGATACCCCTCAGTAGATAAATGGATGAAGAAAATGTGATACACACACACACACACACACACACACACACACACACACACACACAATGGAATTCTCTGCCTCCATCAGAAAGAATGGCATCGCTCCATTTGTTAGGAAATGGAAAGAGTTGGAAAAAAATTTTAAGTGAAGTAAGCCAGACCCAAAGAAGCATAGGTCCCGTGGTTTTCCTTATTTGCAATAACTAGTATATGTCTAGGACAAGCAGAAAAGGTTAAAAGCTATGTACATATGACCATATAAGTTAATGCTATATGAAATGAACCCCAAGGTAGGAACACACAGGTTTTACCTTTCTTGCTGTTATTTTTAATGTACTTATAACATATTATGTGATTTTTTTTGTTTCTATGTATGTTCTTCCCCCAGAGTATAACCCCTGATTTCACTGTATTTAATTCCAGTGCCTTACATCTTGTATATACATTTTTCTAATTTGGGGAGGGGAAGGGAAATAACAAAATGCTGAAATAAGGATACTGGTTGACACATTGTAGCAATGAGATGTACAAGACACTATTTTGAAAATGAACATTATAATTTCGGGCAGGGAAAGTGAGGAGGAGTTGGGGAAGTGGAGAGGAAAGGAATGGTAGGAATAAAACAAAGGAGAGGTAAATAATACTCTAGAGGAAAATGTACACATTACTTTATGCATGTAACTGTAACCCCTCTGTACAGTATCTTACAATAAAAATATATATAAAAGAATATTTAATAAATTGAAAATAAATCACTTGCCCCTTTTCACTGTTATCTGTAAAAAAAAGGCACAACAATGATGACACTGCTGGTATGTAAAAATGTTTTTGTTCAAATATTTTTTAGATGATGAAAAGTTCTTTTCAATTT